GAATAAAAGTACAGAAGAGATTCACCCAAAAAGAGTACCGAAAGTTCTGAGTCATAGATCCTCATGCTGTAGCTTTAAATATTTAGATAAATTTTTTACTTTTGATTTTTATTTTCTTCCTTTGTTTGTCGTTTCTCTTCAGCCAAACACACACACACAGAGAGACCTGTGATGGTGCCCTGAACAACGGTTCCGTTCTTAAATTTCTCTTTAAAAATAAATAGACATGATTGTTCTGTTCCCTTTCAAGTGTATCGTTCTTTATTTATTTTTTAAAATTTTTAATATTTTTTTCTAATTTTAGGATTTAGTGTTTTAATTTTTTTTTAATTTACTTTCAAAACAAAATTTTCAAAAATGATAGGGATCCCAAATGAATTAGCAAATATTCTATATGATATTGGCATGGATAAAGTCTCTACTCTCTAGCTTTGTTCCAAACTTCTTTTTAAAAAAAAACATATTATGAAAGAATAATTACTTGGATCCCCTTTTTTACTCACCTCCTTGACCCCCTCTTCCTATGATGGTCCCTTTTTCTTTTTCTTTTCTTTTTTTTTCCTTCTCCTCCAATTACCACCCTCCACGTGTGTGGGGGGGGGGAGGGGAGTGGTGAGGGTGGTGATTGGAGGGGATCTCAATCATCACCCTAAAATGAAAACTCAACCAAATACTGAGACCTTTGGATGTGAATGATGGTTGTGATACATGGGTGGAACAATGAAGAAAGGGGACAAAGGTAGGGGTGATGGAGGTAGAGAAGGGTAATAGAGATTAGGGCTGAAAGGAGTGTACATGAGTAGTGGAAGTTTGGAGGTGAATTTGAATATGGGAAAATGACTGAGGCCCCCGTGGGGGTGACCCCCACCACCCCCACTCTTTTTTCATTGGCTGAATTTTTTTATTTTTTTATTTTTTTTGTTGTCTTGCTATCATAGAGCTCCACGTGGAGGTGGAGGTGGAGGTGCTGGGTCAGCCTCCACTGGGGGTCTCCAGCACTGTTGTTTGAATATGAGAAAGAAAAGGGAGTTTGAATTTTAGTTTACGTTTTGGGCTATGGGATTTGAAGTAAGTCAAGAAAAATTACAAACATTAAGGGTCAAAATGGAAAAATGTGAAATTTAAGAGTACAAAATGTGATTTATCCATTTTATGCCATGTGGCATTTTCCGTTTAAAAGTGGATGAAAGTTAGCTTTTGAATAGAAATAATTACAAACGTTAAGGATTGAAATGAGAAAAAAAAAATATTTTAAAGGTCAAAATAAGAAAACAGTAAAATTTAAATAGGACAAAGTGTAATTTAATCCATTTTTGTCCTACTATTTTTTAAAAGAAATTTTGTGACTGCATTAAAACCAATGCTAAAGCCTAAAGGTGTCGGGAGGTAGAAAAATATTGGGTGACAGTGTAAGCAAAAACTTTTGTCAAAATATCTGTGCAGAGAAAAACTGAACACATATGCACAGATTCATGCATATTAATATTTTTTTAGGAGAAATATTACATCAGAGAGTTTTGAAAAAAAATTATAAATATTAATAATTAAAATTGTAAATTTTTCATGAATATGTTGTTTTTTTTTTTTCTGACTTCCAATTGGGTGTAATTACCCCTACTTTTTATCATTCCAACTCCCAAGCGCACACAGCTTCAATGTGAATTAACAAGAACATATATTAACTAAGCATAATATTACATTTTTCACCTGAAGTTCAATAGAGAAAGTAGATGACTACTCATAATACAAACTTGTAAACAAGACTTTATTTACCTATTAAAAAAAAAACAAAAAAACAAGACTTTATTTACTAATTTTGGGTCTTGAACTAAACATATATAAACTAATAGAACTTGTCAAAACATTTTAGTCCCAACATTGAGAAAAATGTGACATTTCAAGCCCTCAACCGGCCTCCGCACGCGTAAGTGACGCTGCAAGTTTCATCAACCTCAACAGTGTACTCATGCACCGGCCTGGAAAGGAAAGTAGGCAAGCGAATCAGCAGCTCACAAACACACGCTGTGTCCACCTCCTTCAACCACCGACAACAATCATGTTCTATAGGCGATTCTCTATGCCTGTGTCTGTGTCTGTGTCCGTGTCCGTGTGTGGGACTATTTTCCTCAGATGGTGAAGGAGAGGGCGGTGAAGGAGGCGAGGGAGGGGGTACCCCCGTGTGTGGCACCAGGGAACAAGCGTGGTTGGCTAGTGCCAACTGCGAGATGCAGAGAGGCTGAGAAGGGCGACGAAGTAACTGGCACTTCACATTGGGATGATTGAAAACAAAGATTATTGCTATGAAGAATGTTAGTTTTAGAACCTTGACTGAATCCATTCTTGTGGTTATTGAGTTAGTTTTAATTGGATTGTGTTTATATACTAGTAGTGATTCATATGCTTCTCTTTTTTCTAAAGGTGGGTTTCTTTTTGTGGGTTGATTAAAAAAAAAAAAAAAAAAAAAAAAGAGAGAATGAAACATGCAAGTGATCAGTCTGATGTAGTAGTTGACATATAGGAAGAGTTTAGAGTTTAGAAAAACTCATTCACTTTGTGTGACTAGAGCTTCTTAGTAAGGATTGGGAATGTCTCTAAAATGGTCTTGTGGTAATAATTTTAAAAAAAAAACAAATACCGAAATCGATCATACAATTAGATATAATTCCCTTACATAAAATGACCCAACTTTTTGTAAATGCATTACATATAAGAGAATTATGTCTGAATCTACAGTAGGTTTTTACACAATTAAAATAACTAATAGTAATTCAATGGTTTAGAATGAAGCTATATATAACAAGAAAATGTTGTTATATATATAGTATTTTGATTTCATTTTGTTTAAATTTTAAATGCTACTACCCGTTGAATTATATACTATATTTGTGTGTTTTGTTTTGATAACAAATAAACAAAATTATTGCAGAAAAACTATGACGTTGGATCTTTATCTGTACAATAAAGTATTAATTGCCTTGAAATGAGAAATGCAATGCCAAACTTGCCTCAACTGACAAGTAGGAAAGGAAATTGGAATTGATTTATATGCCTTCAGCTCTAACAAGTGGACACTAATTCATAAAACTAATATTATACAAATAGAAGTAACATATAAAAATTGAAAATGTAGTTTAATAATTGATTATATGCCCTCAGCCGCAATGAGTGCCATGTTTGTCGTTTATTTTTTTAAAATAAAATTAAATAAGTTATAATTATTATATCAATTTAATCTCTCTTTTTTTGTAAATAATATATAAAAAAAATTATAAAATAAGCGATTCAAATTATCAAAATAAAACTCATAATGATTTTCACGAGTTCGAACAACTTTAATATCAAGAGGGAAGCCCATTTCTTTCCCATAATAGTGTAAAACTTCTCCATCTTAATCATCTCCGACTCTTTATCAATTTTTTCATTTAATTTGATTTCAAATTTGAGTAAAAAGCTTGATTTAATATAAACTACTCCAATCTTTTCATCACTTTTTTTGGATAAATTACAAATACAGTTCTAAAGTTTGCTTAAAATATGGATCGTTCTCTGTGATTTAAAAAAAAAAATACAAATACCCCTTATCAGATTTTTTTATTTAACAGAATTAATTAAAAAAATAAAATTCCTAACTGCTCTCCTACAAAATAATAAAATTACCTAAATTATTAATTAAAATAAATTTCTGACGTCATTCAGAGCTGTTAACTGAATTGATGATTTATTAATAAAATTGATCATTTATTATGAAATTAAAAACTTAAAAGGGTGGGAATATAATTTCTTAAACTACATGGGCAATTCGTTTTTAAAAAAAAAAACAGGGGTATATTTGTAATTTTCCCCCAATTCTTTTTTAAAAAAATTCCCTCTTATCCCAAATTTCATCAAATTTGATGAAAATAAATTATCTTCAATGCTTTATTTTTAAAAAAAATTATCAAATTTAAATTGGATAAAGGATTTGATGAACACTAATTAAAAGATTGGAGATTATCTTTCCTATTTTCTTTCATCAAATTTAAATTTGATGAAAAAAATACTCAAAAATCATCTCTAATCCTTTCATTAAATGTTTATTAAATCAAGGAATAATCATATTTTTTTTTAATCAAATTGAGAATTTATTAAATTTAAATTTAATGAAAACTTTTTAAAAAATAAACATTAGAGAGAATTTCTTTTTTATCAAATTTGATGAAAGAAATATTTGAGATAAGATAAAAAAAAAATTCTTTAAAATTTGATACATTTGAATTAAAATTTTCCGAAAATGTCACAAGCACATTTCCACCCTTAATTTTGATGAGTCTCACAAAAATCAGATGCAATTGTAGCATCGCCACATCAATGCCACCAATGGCACTCAGTAATTACTCTGCTCTCATCCGCAGTGACGGCGACAGAACCCCAAGCTGCTGCGCGGGGTGCGCAGCAGCATCTGCTGTGCGGCTGAAACGGGCTCATTTTGGGGTCCATTTTGATAATTCGAATTATTCATATTTTAGAATACATCAAGTAGAACATGCCTGTAAAAAGTCAAGTTAAGCGGATATGGTTTACCCATTCATCCACTCACATTTATATCTATAAAAATAAATAATAATTGTGATTTAAAGTATTAAAATGAATACAAATGTGAGTGGATGAATAGGTAAACGATATCTAATTAACTTGATTTTTTGCAAACATATTCTACTTAATGTATTCTAAAATGTAAACGGTTCGGATTATCAAAATTGACCCCGAAATAAACCCATTTCTGCACACAACAGATGCTGCTGCACACCCCGCGCAGCAGCATCCCCAAACTCAAAATTAGGCTTGTAAGTTTTAACTATGGAAAATGCAAATAATTTTATTTTTTTTTATCTCATTTTTTAATATAGGCCCCATTGTCTTTTTGTTTAAAAAAAATTTAAAAAATCACACAGATTTGGTCAATCAAGGCTACAAGCTACTATTTTCAGTGAAACAAGAACAGCCACAAACAACAATTTTCAATGAAAAAAAATTTAAAAAAAAATTAGTTACACTTCAGTAAGTAACTTCAAGTATACAAATCACAGCCTGTGCCAGTAATCTAACAGAGTAGAGAAAAACAATTTAAACTGGTAACATCTTCAGTATTAGCAAAAGCAATACTTGAAATGAGAACAAACTTGGGATAATTAACCCCATATACAAGACCGATATCTTTCTTTGTACAGCAGTATTTATGTTCGCCGCTGAATCAATTTTACACCAAATCTACACACAAAAAGTCCATCAAACCTCTCCCAATGCTTTCTGAATGTCTGGCTGCATTAGAAAATCCAAAAGCAGGGCAAGAACAGTATTAACAGAATAAATAATGGGAGACACACACACAAACATACAAATGCAGGAGAGAGAGAGACCTCAATAGCAAACACAGAGGTGGTTGTGCCATAGCGGCGGATGACTTCACCTTCCTTATCAACTAAAAACTTGGTGAAGTTCCATTTGATCCTAGGCCCAAGAAATCCACTTCTACCTGCTCCTTTACTTGCTTTGAGAAATTTGTAGATAGGTGCTGTACGTGGCCCATTAACGCATAGCTAAACAACAAAGACGGTTGTTCATATTTTTATTAAAAAAGTAAATTTGGGACAATTTTGATTTGCACAACATAGGAAAATTGGATGAAATATTTATAAGCAATGTTGCTTAGATCTCAGTTCAAATTGACTAGGCTTTTAACGAAAAGATCAAATAACTTTTAATTCTAGGAGGGTGGCTTTTTAAGCATACTTCTACAGGCCATGGGTAATTTCCACTGATATTTTTTTTGGGAAGAATAGGGAGACTCATATTATACCATCAATTGCTTCCTACCACAACAATCCATTTGTCATGCCATCTAACAATGATAATGACTTCGATGAAAAGACAAAATCTTGAAACCTTCTCACACGGCATTCAAGAATAACTGTATTAGAAGATTACCACACTATGATTGGGTAATCGTCTGGACTGACATTACAGGACACCATGCAAACGGCTGGTAGCAGAGTAAGAAGTTTACTCTCGACTTTTACACAAGATCCAATCATTATGCATTCAAAACAAATGAAATTAAAGGTTATCAATATGGCATTTTTCACATGAACGTGAAAGGGAAACTACCAAAGCACACAAACATTTCACTTCACATTCAAGAGAAAATATTTGGTATCGACCTATGCAATATAAACTGCATCATTGGCTACAAATGCACAAAATTAATTCCAAGGCATCCTTGTAGAAATTATATAAGCACCAAGAACATAGTTATTAGTTAGAAATAAGAATTATTTGCAACATACCAATTCAGTTTCACCTTAAAGGAAGCTTCCTGGTTGTCATTGATTTTTAAGGAGATTTGAGTTTGGAGAAGAGTTTGGATTTGCACCCTATATACAGCACATGTACATGGGCTGCAATATTTAGAGCCTTTCAAATAAAATTATTTTGCTTCTCAAAAAAGGAAGGAAAATAAAAGACAATAGTTCAAAATAAAGTAACATAACATTAATTTTATCCCATTAAAGTAATCTTCCAATTGGCAATCAACAAATTCAACATTCACAATGTGATTTCATATCAAACCAAAATTAAGATTATATTTATGAAAGCGACAAACTTAAATTATGACAAGCAAATAATTGTTAAATCTAATAGCTTGGAACATATTATGACACTGGTTACCTTGTGGAAAATTGGATATTCCGCCTTGTATCTTGTACATGCAAATAGCTCTGCCTCCGCACTTGTACCAGGCTCTTGATGCAAGAACTGATTGCATGGAAAGGCCAAGATCTCAAATGCTGAAACCAACCAACAAAATATGGGTACATGTGTGTATAAATCAATATACTGAAATAAATAATATAAATAAACTGAACGATTAATTTTTGATTAGTATTGGAGAATACACGGAGACTAAAACATGGGTATATATATCCGAATTTGAATGAAAATAAAAATGATTGAACTGCAAAAACAATTTAAACAAAGTTAAAACTTTATGTGGGTAATTCATAGTTGGCAAATCCTAAAAAGTGCCAGTGGCACTTGTTTTACCTTGGGAATGGAGTAAAAAAAGGTTTTAAAAATAGTTGAAATGTTTAAAACATTATGAAATCAGTGAAAAGTGTTTTGAAATCTATACTATCTATATATACTATTATATAAACTGCACAACTCACTTGGTATAAATCTTTGTCACACAATTTGATTTCCAAAAACCACACCAATGCTATATGTTTTTTCAGATATTCACTTTTGCCTAGTAGTTATTGCGAAGACTAAAGAGTAAAATCATCTGTCGCCCACTACACAAACACGTACTCTCTTCATTCTCACGCAACCATGATATCCATCGACAGTTTCAATTGCACACGTAGTGTGCTTAGTCTTCTAGTTTGCAAAAAATGTCTCTTACACTTGTTATCAAAACCCATCTAGTTTACTCAAAAAGTAACACAAATATAGAGACTATTCATGTTAGTATTATAAAATTTGTACTGAGAAAAGCAAAATCAACGAAAGACCCAACAAGACCAGTCGAAAGATTCCTCACCTTTATCCTTGTACTTGTTGTAAAGTTCAGTCAAATGGATATAATTGGAATCTGTAAAACCACTGATTCACATACACAATCACATTAATAACCAAGATTAGAGAAGAAAAAGAATGATTATTAAACCCATATCAATTTCACACAAAATACATGTTGATTAGAATAATGAAACAAGATTGGAACAAGAAAAAGCAGGGAATGAACCATTTGGAAGCAACATTGACGACAAGAAGAACTTTTCCTTTGTAGATGCTGAGATCCACGTCCTTACCCTTGCTATCCTGCACACCCAACAAATCCAACCTTTATGACAGTGCATTAATTTTACTTTCATACTCCAAACTTCCAGATTTTTTTTTATAGGTCCAGGCTCCAGCCAAATACTCCAAGGCACGAGAAAAGAGACAAAAATAAATAAAGTTGTGAAAACTACGATACTTCTTATTAATTTCATAAATCATTGGAAAATGCGTGGTAGCTCGAGAGTGCGGTGGCTCGAACGGCTCGACAGCCCAAAACGACGTCGTTTTGGGCTGTTTTTTTTTTTTTTCCACCGCACTCTCGAGCTACCACGCATTTTCCAATGATTTATGAAATTAATAAGAAGTATCGTAGTTTTCACAACTTTATTTATTTTTGTCTCTTTTCTCGTGCCTTGGAGTATTTGGCTGGAGCCTGGACCTATAAAAAAAAATCTGGAAGTTTGGAGTATGAAAGTAAAATTAATGCACTGTCATAAAGGTTGGATTTGTTGGGTGTGCAGGATAGCAAGGGTAAGGACGTGGATCTCAGCATCTACAAAGGAAAAGTTCTTCTTGTCGTCAATGTTGCTTCCAAATGGTTCATTCCCTGCTTTTTCTTGTTCCAATCTTGTTTCATTATTCTAATCATCCAGTCCCTCCTCCTCCTCCTCCTCCTCCGCCCTCCTCCAGCCTCTCCCTCTCCCTCTCCCTCCTCCTCCTCCTCCTTCTCTCTCACTTTTTCGAGCCAATTTCGAGCCGAAGCTCTCGAGCTACCAATCGCTACCGTAAATCATTTCCCTTATTTTAAAACTTCTTTTTCACTATTTTCAAAAAAAAAATTACAAAAATTTCAACATTTAGCAATTTCCATTTTCTATTTTATTCCTATTATATGATTTTTATCTATACAATCCCTAACATTTCTTATTTAAATTCATATAATCACCATCGGGGGTTGTGGAGTGTAAAGGTGCCTTCCTTCCACACAAGTGAGCTTGGCTCGACTCCGGGAGCGAAACTAGCAGCCTGTTTTTCAAACGGTGAAACTAATTGTGCTGTACTCCGATCATGACTCTACCTTGGTGTTGGGGTTTGGTACATTCCTCTCTTATCCCGGTGATAAGTCCCTTCCTCGAAAAAATTATCATATAGATCTATCTCATATACTACGTAGTATGCCCTTGCAATTATATTGGTTACATACCCACTATAAAGTAACTAATAGAATTGAAAGGAGACACAGTCTAATTAAAATTTCTGAAAGACAGAATAATTGTTCCTTCCTTTGGGTTAGGGTAAGTATGGCCTACATACTCGCGCCTACGGATTGCAATGATACTACCATTGAATACCTTTCTTTTAGTTTGTTTTTTTTTTTTGAAAAAATAAAAAAATCATGTAATCTAATTTGAGATGATTGTATAAATCAATAATTATTCAAAGCCTAAACAATTTAATCACGCAACAGCGCGCCTATCAAATCAGTTGTAAAATGCAGTTTGTTCAAAATAGTATTTTTTTTAAAAAAAATGAGGAATTGGTTGTATATATTAAGTTGTTCATATTTAGCGATGGCAATGAATAACCTACCCTATGGGTATTCATGGAGATCTAACCCAAATACATGGGTTTTATCCTTTTTTCTTATCCATCGGGTAGGATAAGTGATATTCTTTAAATATCTACAAAGGATGGGTCGATGATGGGTACCCACTAATTTTCCCATATTTTTTTTTTTTTTTTTTAAGATTCACAACCAAAAACTAAATATACATTCAATCTTTTTTCTTTTTTTTAAGGTTCACAGCCAAATTTTTTTTTTATTTTTATGATTCACAACCAAAACTAAATATACATTCAATCTTATTTTATTTTATTTTATTTAGCTCAACAACAAAATTAAATACACATTAACTAACATTGTCACATTATTCTTGTCAAAGTTTATGTATATCTAGAATTTTTTATATTTATTTAGAAAAATTTTATTCCTTCAAAAAAATTCCATCTTCTTTTTTATTTTTATTTTTTTTAATTTTATGTATCTCCTTCTCCTCTCTATTATTTGATCTTCGATCATCTGAAGGTGAGTTATTACTCTCGTTTCCATCTTCTTCTTCTTCTTCTTTTTTTAAAAATTTTTATTTACATTTATAGAATGAATTTTCTAGTTTCAATATCTCCTGCAATTGTTTTATTGGATTTCTCTCTGATTTGATGGTAACCTTAGATTGAATTTCTCAATTTTCATCTTAACTAGCAATCACCTTAATTAAAATTTTGTACATTTTTGTCTTCAATTTCTATGTTTTGGTTATGATTAATTGCGCATTTTTTATCGATAGTCACAATCTTGTCACTGCCAGATTGTCGTCATGCAAATCTCCATTGCTGCAGTGAGAGGATGAGAGAGTGAGAATTAGAACTCTAATTGTCAACAGAGTAGTGAAAACATAGGGAGAAATTATTTTCGATGTACCTAAAAAAAAAATATTGGAAAATTAGTGGGTACCCATTCCCGGTTAAGATTTAAAGAACATCACTTACCCTAACCGATGGACAAGAAAAAAAGGAAAACCCAAGTATTTGGGTTGGGTCTTCATGGATACCCACATGGTAAGTTATCCATTGTGACAATTAGAGTTCTAATTCTCACTCTCTCTCACCCTCTCACTACAGCAACGGCGATTTGCGATGACGACAATCTAGCGGTGACAAGATTGTGACTATCGATCAAAAATGCGCAATTAATCATAACCAAAACATGAAAATTAAAGACAAAAATGTACAAAATTTCAATTAAGGTGATCACTAGTGAAGATGAAAATTGAAAAATTCAATCTAAGGTTACCATCAAATCAAAAAGAAATTCAATAAAACAATTGCAAGAGATATTGAAATAAGGAAATTCATTCTATAAATGCAAATAAATTTTTTTTTTAAAAAAAAAAGAAGAAAAAGATGGAAATGAGAGCAATAACTCACCTTCAGATTATCGAAAATCAATTAATAGAAAAGAAAATGAGATACATAAAATTAAAAAAGAAGATGGAATTTTTTTTGTAGGAATAGAATTTTTCTAAATAAATTTAAAAAAATCTAAATATACATAAAATTTGACAAGAATAATGTGATAATGTTAATTAATGTGTATTTGATTTTGTTGTTGAGTCAAATAAAATAAAATAAGATTGAATGTATATTTAACTTTGTTTGTAAATCTTAAAAAAATAAATAAATAAAATAAAATAAAATAAAATAAAATAAAAATTGAATATATATTTAGCTTTGGTTAAGATTGAATTTTTCGAAATTAATTTTAAAAATTCTAGATATATATAAAATTTGATAAGAATAATGTGACAATTTTAATTAATGTGTATTTGATTTTATTGTTGAACCAAATAAAATAAAATAAGATTGAATGTATATTTAGTTTTGGTTGTGAATCTTAAAAAAAAAATTTAAAAATGGTTGTGAACCTTAAAAAAAATAAAAATAAAAAATAAAAAGAGATTTAATGTATATTTAGCTTTGGTTGTGAATCTTACCCAAAAAAAAAAAAAAGGTTCAAGGTGTGAACCTTAAAAAAAAAAGATTGAATGTATATTTAGCTTTGGTTGTGAATCTTAAAATAAAAAATAAAAAATAAAAAGGGTCAAGTTGGGTTGGGGAATATCCAAACCCATTAGGAAATGGAGAGGGTAGTACCCACAGCGAATGGGGAAAAATAATTATAAGAAAATAAAAATAGAGAATTAATATCTACCCCATTAATTCACATTGTCATCCCTATTCATATTTTGAAATAACCTTTTACCTATCAAATCAAAATCCAACAGTAATTATAATTTAGAGATAAAAGTGAAATTAATTTAGAGATGAAACATAAAAAATGATTATAATTTAGGGGTAAAAGTGAAATTAACCTACTAGAAGAATCCAAACATAATTCACAAATATATACATATATATAGATATATATATATAGAGAGAGAGAGAGAGAGAGAGAGAAACAAGATAGATGAAGAGAAGGGTATGAGAAATTGAACCTTGACGGTGAAATCATGAATAGATTTTTGAGGGATTGAGACACAGAGTTGTGTGTTTTCAATATCATTTGTCTTTGTTTGATTTTTGCTTGAAGCTCTGGAAAATTCACCGCCGCTGCAACAACCACAAAGCCCACAACAATCCATCGCCGTGATTTTCTTTTTCTTTTTTCGTTCCCCAGTTTTTTCTTTTTTTGTTAAAAATAGGTAAGTTAGTTTTTTTTTTTTTAAAGGTATTTTTAGACTATAAAATTTCTTGTGCTAATTTAGCTTAAAAATTAGATTTTTCAAAATTTACAATTTTAAAAATAATATTTGAAGGTTATTGTTCCTTATACATTAAATAATTTAATTTGATTTTATGAAATTTTTCTACAATGTATTAATCATTTTACTTCAACTTCAAACTTTTAAATTTCAATCAGAAAATTATTTTTGTATTAAAACTGAGAGAATTACTTTTTATTTAATTGGATTTTTTTTTTTCTATTTTTCTTTGAATTTAAATGAGAGGCATTTCCTTATTTATATTGTAAACTTAAGTAAATGAAATATAAATATAAGAGGCTAAGTAAAAGTATTTACTTAAATGGTTACATATGAAAATAAGGTTGATGTGTTGGGAGTGCCTTAGGAACTGTGTTGTGTGACTAGTTATGTCTAGGGTGGCCACTTGAGCGGTCAAGTGGTCGCTTGAGCGGAGATATGAGGCTCCAAGTATTTTCACTATAGACCTACAAAATTTCTAAGAGATTGCATTCACCCCTTGAGCGATAAAATGTTCGCTTGAGCAGTCTGTTCGAGAACAGTGCTTGAAAAAATCATTTTAGGTCACTTTTTTTTATTCTTTCTAGAATTTTTTCTCTCCTCTCCCTCTCTTTCTGTCATTGTTGAGTTCCAAGCTCATTAAGCCCTAGATTTCATCTCCTTAGAGTGAGAATCCCATCCTAGTTCCTTGTACAAAAATGATGAGCACGACGAAGGCTTTCTATTAATCTAAGTGGATCGTGTTTTCATTGAAATTGATCTTCTGAATTTCTTCATCTTCTTGCTAGAGGTAGGGATTTCCTTAATTCTCTTCAATATTGACATATAAATAGTAGGGGTGTAACTTGGACGGGCTCAACCCGAGCAACCCGAACTTAGCCCGAATTTTTTTAGGGCTTAGACAAAATATTTTCAAATTCGGTACGGACTTTGGCAAAAATTTAGAAGCCCGAATTAAATTGGGCGGGCTTAGACAAAGACATCAAACAACACGAGAAATCCGAAACCCGAATTATACATATGTAGATATATAAAAATATTAAATATACATATAAATTATTAGTCATTACGTGATATTAAAATAGTTTAGATTATTAAATCATATTGAATATATATTATATATACAAATAACATAAAATCTTACTTTTTTTTTTTATTTTTACTCATAAATTGTAAGGACCACTATAGCGGCATCTCTCTTACATTGTATAAATTATTTGTTTTGATGGTATTAATGATTTTCTATAATAAAAAAATGTAAATAGAGTCTGTAGACGTCCCCGAACGCCCCGGGAGGGTGAGTCCCGTTCTGTTCATTTGTGGGGTCACTACAGCTCGAACTCTCAAATTGTCACGGTTCTTAATCTGAACCAAAGAGTCCAAATCCGGCAAATCGTTTTGAGAAACAGATTTTTGAAAAGAAGTGCCAAACATGGACTGCTTTGCCAGATACAGAGTCGCCACCTAAATATTTTAAAATGAGTATGGGAGAATTTAGGAACCCTGACTCGGTGTCGAAGGCCACATGTCCGTCATCACCAAAGTTGTCTTGGCTCGGAAGCTTGGGTACGATCGGGGAAGTCAGCTATGAGCACCCCTTTCGCCCGGTCCGAAGACCGGCCTCTACTAACCATGATATCCATTTTAAAACGTTATGTGTTCTTATTCCGGTTATTAGCCTGAATCACTATGTTATGCGCGCAGCAAACAGTATAGACTAGACTGCCTAGTTTGGAAATAAGCATTGCATATCCGTTTGGTTTTGAAAAAGCGCTTTGGGAATTGCTACTCGCAAGTAGGCTAAAATACGGATTTCAACGAGTTTTTCCAACTCAAACAATCCAACCTTCACCCACAGGCATTAAAACAGTTTATCACATAAGCATCTAGCCACATGGTAAACATACTGTCATGGTAACACTCACACGCATGCGGGATGCTAAAGCATAAATACTTACATCGTACTCCGTGCCAAAACAGTAAACTAATTAGCAAACATGCATGTCCTAGTTCATGTTAAGAATGGAAATGCAACGCATGCAAAATGCAATCTAGATAGACTCGGCTAACCTAAACATGGCATGTGAAATGCCGATCAACTACCACATATTCAATTTGTGAATTGAAGTACAAATGCAGTTTAGCGTGATATACCGAGCCTAATGCATGCAATACAAATGCATGATGCACGCATGCATAGCATAAGGTATGCTAAATTAAACGTGCCCTAATACTAACCATCAAAGCAGGTAAGTAAAAGGGAAGAAAGAAGTGGCGATTGGAAGACATACACTCCACTCACACAACTTATTACAGATTTGCCCTCGCTCGGAGGGCCGAATAAATATTACAAATTAATTAACTACGCAAGCTAATTAATTATTACAAATTGCCTAATTAATTAATTAAACTAATTAAGCTAAGAAACAGATAAACCGCCTCGGGAGGGGCCAAATGCAGCGCATGCCGGATCTTGCTCGGAAATACACCGCCATGCATAGGCTGCCTCTGTTTTCCTTCTTTTACTCTCTGGAGGCTGCCAAAATCTCAGAACTGGTTCCTTGGACACTGAGGAGTGCCACCGCTGAATGGAATGTCACCGCAGTGTGTTATGGCCATCGCCAAAACGAAGCTGTCGGCAGAGAAGGGATTGCCGGTCGCGCTGACACTGCCGTCGGCAAAGTGTTCTGCGAATCTGCAATTGACAGCAACAGAGGGCAAGGCAAAGCATGGCAGCACAATTCAAAGCATATATGCACCAATCATGTCTCTTATCATGGTAATGACTCAAAGGACATATTTCTCGGTTCTTGGACCACTAATCACGCATTTCCATTGCATGATGGGCCAAGTGGACCGTGT